TATGTTTAATGTCTACCTTTTATGTGCAAATCTAAGCAAATAAAAAAAGCTCTCATTTAGGCCGGTTGCACTTTGAAGTAACGATCCCAGCATTCCAAGTTATGTTAAACAGTTTGTTGTTGAGGGTAGGGCTGGGCAAAGTTCCGTTAACAGAAGGAGGTTTTCGAAAATTAACAGAAGAGTTAGTTAACGAACGACAAAACCGTTAATTTTCAAATCATTAACGAAACGGATTAGCCGTTTTTGAAAAAATTAATGAATAACAACTTTAACTAATTTTAAAAAAAAACGATGAATTTCGGTATTTCATTTTTTCTGCTTAAAATTGCATTACACTTGTAAAACAAATGTGTTTCATGTTTTTAAATGTCGTCTTCTGTATTAAGAAGCTTAAATGCTGAGAATAGAATTTTAATTGTTCACGCAATAATAAGGCATTTTATTTTATTTATAAATAAAACTTACACTGTACACTGTCACATGGTTGCATTGTGCACCGTCACAGTGTTGATTTGTAATATTTCAATTGGTTCTACTGCATCTTTATGTAGTTTGTCTATGGAACTAAGGGAAGCAGAATTATTCTACGGGAAAAAGATCCTTATTAAGTTTGTCTTTGAAAATATGTTTTTTTTTAAAATTATTTTCAACAAGTAAAATCCAGGTTTACATTAAACATGGATCTTAATAAGTCTGGCATTGTTTTTCTGTTTAGAACCTTTTTGCTTTGTTCGTGCTATCCTTATGGAAAAGTTCCTGGTTTAGTACATTGTCGCAGTGTGGTAATGTAGGCTTGTTAGTATATTAGTTTTTCTTTAATGTTTACCAGTGAAATAAAATAGTGAAAATAATTTCATCTTTATAAGCATTGGCTGTTAAAAGAAAAATGAAGAGAATGTAGAGAAGGCAGGGAAATTTGAACACATACGACGTTTGACAAATTTTTGTTTTAATGGTGAGAATTAAAGGTAACAAAGTTGGAAATAAACTGAGTTCACAATGATTTTGCCTTGTGCAAAATTAAAAAATTCAAGCAAAATTAACTCTGTTCTTTTTTTAAACATTTAAAACACTTAGGAATATTTTTTTATTTACTCTTCTTCAATCAAGCCTCATAGGGGAATAATTAGGCATAAAATAAGTAAAGCAAATGTTCAGCGTAAACAATTTTGGAATGCTACAAATGAAATCGTTAACGGTCTTTTAATGATTTTAGGAACCGTTAATACTGTATTAAACCGTTAACAGCTGCGCCGTTAACTATTTTCAAACAATTAACAAATTTTTTCTGCGCTTTGCGCTGTTAACAATTTCTTAAACTGATAATACTATAATTAACCATTAAGAGCTGCGCCATTAATAAAATTTAAATCGTTAACTAACGGTGATTTTTAAAAAACGGAAAATGCCGTTAACTGCACGAACGTTCTGTTCTTATCATTAAAATTAAAGGCTAACTGAATTTTTATGAACTGCTGGAACTAACCGTTGACAAAATGGCTAGAAAAAGTTGAACCATGCCCAGCCCTACTCGATTGAGGGAACCCCCAGACGTCATGAGCCTCCGCTAAGCAGACACGAGCCTACCAGATTTGCTAGGCAGACCAAGCTTCCACTATGCAGACCGTGCCTTCTCTATAAAGCCTCTACCATACAGCACAGCTTTTTATAAATCTTCGTTTTCATGTGTAATGAAAAATTTTTTACTTGTTTTACGTAGTGGCATAAGAATTTTAATAAAGATTAGAGTTTTTTATTGATTGTCAAGATTAGAAACATATATGGACTCATAAAGTGGTTTATAAGATGTATATAAAAACTTTAAACATTTATTACGCAGAAATATATATATCTTTCATATTTGGAGAAATATTTCTGGAGTAAACTTAGTTTGTTTTGATATAATCTTATATTTAAATAATAGCTTTTTTTTGGAAATTATTAAGATTTAAATAGATGATACAAATTTTCTAGATTTAATTTGAACTACAAAAAAGGGTATCGCTTAAATCAAAGATTATAAAAAATGAAATGAAATGAAATTCAAATCTGAGAGGCTCATGCTCCCTCGTATGTCTGATTCAAGAAAATGGACTTCTGACCTAAAGCTGTCATATAAGTCAGATCATTTACGAAGTATTGTAGGCCGGAATTAGTAGAAGAACAATGTACCCTTTAATTTACCATCTTTTGTTATAGTTCTGAGTGTTTTCTGGTATCTGCTCATATTGAGTTTGGTAGTGTTATTTTGTAGTCAATAACTTACTAATTTCTAAAAATGTGTGTAGTTTGATTGCGTCAGGACTCAGATTACCCATAGACTCTGCATTTAAAAATCGAGTTGCACACATGTTTATAGGAATTTACATATATAAAAATATATAAATTGAAAATAATGACACATGTTGATACATGTTTCAAGGAGACATTACAGTTAGGCATGTATAAACCTCTCTTTATGTTAAGGTTTGTCCGGTAATATACAGGGTGTCCCACAAAACATGACAGTTGGTGCATTTTTTAACTTTAATAATTTATTTTAATTAAGTTTTACAATATTTTTTTAATTTCAATATGGTATCAGATGAAAACATTTTGAGACTTCTATATTTCTTGCTTTTCATTCTCTCTTTTTGATCGTCCAGTCCTCGTCTATCCTTCAATCATACTTTCGCTAATTTTGAAAATAAAAATAAATGAATTTTTTGGATGTTTTCTGCAGCTAGCCAAATTGTAAAGGCTGAACTATCTTTTGGAGCCCTGTATCTCTATTCTGAAAGTGGTTACTCTCTCCCTTGTTTATTTTTAAGTTTTGCTTGGGTCATGTTACTGTGTCAGCTCCCATACATTCCTAGCTATAACATACTTTCAATGAAATTTTCTTGATGGGGTGGGGGAGAGGGGGGCGTTTTACACACTTTCCAGGTCTTTATCTTGAGTATTAGTGTGGGGATGGGACGTCTGCGATCCTGTGTATTTGTCTTTATTTGCTATCAGTGAAAAAAAATTAGATAGTGTAAAGCTCAAATCTCCTTCTAATTTTTTCTGTTCAATGTTCAATGTCTTCTCTCATGATACCAAATTAGTTATTTAAGACTTTTTGAAGTTTATTTTGTTAAACAATTCTTTTACTCAAATATATATTTGTTTGAAATCAATGTTACTATAATATTACTGCCATTTAGTATTTCTTATCATTATCTTTGGTATCAAACAACTTATCAAATTATGGAAGAAGACATTTAAAACTATTCACCAACTGTCATGTTTCTTAGGACTCCCTATAAATAATAATGGGTGTTTTTCATAAACCTTGATGTTTGTTGTCAATAATCTTGGAAATATCTATATAAATATTAGGGTGCATTAAATGACAGATAGATATTTAAAAAAAAAAACTTTGTAAGCCCATCTACATTGAACATGAAATTAGAGCTCTTTCTTTAATCCAATAAAATATGGGACACCCTGCAGGGAACAAGCATTTTCAATTAATATAAATTTTGAGCTTTTAGTCTAATCATACTTTTATCTAATAATCAGAAATTACAGCAAAAGTTTATTTCATGTATGATCAATACATTGGACAATCATCCACTGAGCAGCACTTAGTTTGTCACCTGAAAATAAAGTTGTGGTTGGAGGGAGTATTTTGTTTCGTCTGTTTATTTATTTCCCTTTCCAAAATTTTCAAAATCTTAATTCTTAGTTTTATTCATTTGTTCATTGATTAATTGCTTACAAAAGAATGAATATTTCTCTGTTATATGTTTGACAGAGTACACACATTTATGCATTACCGTGAAACGGTTTTCTTCTCATCTGCAACCGTTAATTATTTGTTTCCTAATGAACCAAATATCTTTCAGGCAAATAACCTTTCCGTACACATTCTCAATGTTTTCTTCTTGTTTTTTGCTTAATTAAAGGATGAATCTATTACAATTGATTTTAATATATGAAGTAGCACCATGCCCTTGCTCATTCCACTTGTGTCACTTGGAATTGGGATGGTTTCGTATACCAAAAAATCTTACAGTAAAGATATTATCACCATTTTATCATTTTAAAATTTGTGACCTCATGGTTATTTGCCTGAAAGATATTTGGTTCCTGTTCCTGGTCGCATGCCCCCAGAAAAAAAGGAAGTAACATCTATGTAATGTCAAGACATCATTCAAAATTCTGAATAGAGGAAACTCTACAAGTTTTTGGAATATTTTTTTCCAAATATTTGAATTTTTGATTTGATCAAAGTCTTTCACCGTTGGAAAAGTTGGGGTGGGGCGGCTAGTGTGTAACATTAGTTCACGTTAGATCACAGAAGTTAAGCAAACTTGTCTGCAGCCAGTAACTGGATTTACGTCAAGACTGGAGGTTCGATTCCCGCACTCCACACAAACCTGTGGTTTAAAAAATATCTGAAGCTAACATCTGGTTAAACAGTTATGACCGCCTGACGGTTGTAGGAGGACAGAGGGGCGGCTGTCAACAACTCTTGCAGCTAAAGGGTGCGTAATTTCAACAAAACAAGAAAGGAGCTTTACATGGATTGATCCAATATCAGGGAATAGGAATAAAGGGAAAAGAAATGGAGCTGGTCTGGCATGAGAGCAGAATGTAACAGTCTGGTTTGCAGACCAGTACAGTAAACTTTACACACACTCTTCTGGTACAGACACACATCATGACTACAGTCAAGGAAATTGCAGAACAATGTTGTCAATTATAATTAAGCTTAAATAACGACTAGTTTATTGTAAACCTTAAGCAAGTAATATTCTTTGCATGAAAATTTGGCTGTATATTGTTTACTTAAATATATAAATAGTATACTACATGTATATTAAACTTATTTTTAAGTAAACAATTAACAATAAACAAATGTACTCTCCTAGACTGTACAAAAACCGAGATTCCTATGTACTGTATATACCTGCAGTACACACCTTCGGTACGGTAAACTTTACACACACTCTTTTGGTACAGACACACACACATGACGTTTCCGCCCCCTGATGATGATAAAGACTAAAGAGAGGAAAGGTGGGCAAGTAGGGAGAGTTGATGGTTGCCAGCCATAGGTACCTAGAGGTATTCAATCTGGGTGGACAAATGATTAGGAGCAATGAGTGTGGTGTTTCCTTTCTGTAAGGCACCCAGGCCTCATTCCAGTATATAAGAAGAATTCCTGCACTCTATACTATTCTCGGGAGTCGGGCCTAAGCAATCCCAAGGCAGCTGGAATCTTGTCAACTCTCTTCTCAGAACAAATGAAGCGTGGACCGATGAATGTGTTGACAGATTACAACCCCTCTTAAAAAAAAATGCTCATACCCCAAAGTTCATTTGAAGAAATAGGAGTACCTGCATTATCACTTAGTTTTAAAAAAATGAAGATAGAGATACCTTCCTCTACACTCTCTAGGCTAATGCAAAAAAAAATTCGGCTTAAGTAGAGCAGTGCATGTGTATATTGATATTGTTGATATTGTGTACATGATGGAAAAGTCAAAGCAAAGTTTATGTACAATTTAACTACCCCTTAGACTTAAGACTTAGCGGTGTCAATATCAGTGAAAATCAGATGAATGGGTTCTATGTACATGCAGTACAAGATTGTTTAGTTTAATATCAAGATCGAAAGCCTGGGTAGTGTCTAAATCCACCCCACCACGTCAGAAATAGGGCTGTAAACTATGTTAACAAGGTTTTTGTAGAAATCTTCTAAAATATTTGGTGGTGTTACCTTTTAATCAAAATATTTTTTCTACATGGTAGGCACTGCTAAACAATCTGCAAACTGAATGATGAAATAAATAGTTTAATTTTAAGTTCATTTAAGAATCATCAAAAAACATGTCAATTTATAAAGAAACCTTTGGTTTTTGTGTTTCAGTAGGACTACCAATGGGTGAAGCAGCTCTAGAAGCGTATGGTGTTATATCCAAACCTAGTTTTGCACGTTTTGAGATTAATAAAGGATTTTTTACTATTTAATAATTATTTAAACTGGTAGTTGATAGATATTCTCGTTATAACCTTGAAAACAAAGTAAAATAAAAATAGTAGATGCAAGACTAACTTTATCAAAATAATTATTTTTGAGTTTATAATTTATTATCGTTTTATGTATGTCACATTTTCTTTAAAAATGTTTTTAAAAAAAATTAAATTTAAATTTTAAAAAATTAAAAGATTGCGCCTAAAGTTTTTGAATAATAATGGAATAATCTGATAAATAGTCTGTAATGAATTCAGAAAATGTACCTTTAGAAAGTATATTTGCAACAATATCAGGATCAATATCCTCTCCATCCTTATCTTGAATCTTTTTTAAAGCAGATGCTACAATGCAGAGTCCTCCTCTTAATTCCTGCGTTAAAGGGACCGTTCACTTATTTGGGTAATTTCAGGGTAAATTAAACAGCCTATTCGCTCTTGATAGGTAAGAGTCTTACTTTTCAAAGACAACTGTGGCCGGAGAAAAAGCCGATTTTTCGTTCAGAATTCGAGCACAAAGGGACAGTCCCTCTCTATAGACACTAATTGATGTTTTTTTTTTCAGTATGTTGTGAATCAAAATAAATTTTGAATATAAAATTAAACTGTAGTATCTGATCGTTAATTGTAAATGTCATTATTATTTAATTTTTGTTGTTTTTAACTTTCTATTTCTAAAATAACACTATTTTATCGCATTCAAAATTGTGTATTGCTTGTGTAAAAAGCTGAATTGAACGCGGCATGACAAATGAAAAGTTGTGCACATCCGCGAACAAAATCTACAAAATCTACGAACCAAAATACGAGTAATGATTAATTGATTGTCGTTAGGACGTCGTCTTTGTATACATATTTTACATGTTTTAATACGAAAACGTAAATTTCTTGCTAACTCAAATATCAAAAGTTTTCATATTTTAGTTCATAATAACGAACACATAATGACATTAAAATATAATAAATTTAAATGTTATTGGGCTGCTGTTACTGAAAAAAACATCAAAGTGTCTACAGAGAGGGACCGTCCCTTTCCGCTCAAATTCTGAACGAAAAATCGGCTTTTTCTCCGGCCATAGTTGTATTTGAAAAGTAAGACTATTACCAATCAAGAGCGAATAGGTAGTTCAGTTTACCCTGAAATTACCCAAATAAGTGAACGGTCCCTTTAAACAAAATATTAATATTTCCTCTGTAAAGTATGTTAGCAATCTCAGTTTCCCAATAAAACTTGTTAGATGTTTGGCCTTTTATTTTGATTTAAAGGCACTAAGGTTGTTCAAAGATTAAAAATTTAACAACGTTTATGCAGCATCTTAAAATCTCTCTTTATGGAACGTTCCAAGCAAGAAATTAACCAGCAAACATTTTTTTAATCCTAAAGTTTTTTAGATAAAAAAATCGAGCCAACAGTCTTCTAAAATGTAAAAAAGTTTCAAGCTGGTTTAAAAAACGATGTATCAAACAACCGAATTCGTCCTTTAAGCAGCAGGCCTATTTTAAGACTGGCATAGGAAGCCAAATCGAATGTCGCATGTAAAAGGCTAAAAAAGGTCTTTGTTTAGTAATATTGTACCTTGGCCATATCAAAGATTTTGTCTGAATTATTCAAAACTTCTACTGATTGTGTGTACGGGTTATACCTAGACAAAAAAAAATATTTAATTCTTTATCTAATAGTTCTTTTCTTTCATTCGTAAAATTCTTTCCTTTCTTCGTAACTGTCTTCAAAATTCAAAAAGATACAACATTACCTTAACTGAACGTACAGGTGTCTCTAAAGATACAACATTACCTTAACTGAACAGGTTTCTCTAAAGAATTTGCAATTGTCCGCACAAACTCTTTTGCTTGCTCTATAGTCTCTGCACAACAAAACATTTTTTACAGGTTGTACCGAAAAAAATCGTTAGTCTTTTTTCAGAACAATTTTGTTTTGATTATTTTTTATATCCGCCTACTTTACTTATGCAATTTCTGAATGTTGAAGATCAGTTAACAGATCAGAAAAATCTCGGTTAAAACTTTAGATTAAGACTGGTTGTTTTTTTCGAGACACCTTGTATTCAAATTACTTTTTAAAGATCCCTTATATTTAATAGGAATATTTGTAGAAAACTAAATTTTTAAGACTACCGAACAGAAATCAACAATATTTTCATGCCTTGAAAATATGAAATATGCTATATTAGTTTTATCTGGATTTTGAAATTTAACCGTTTCAGCTTTTTACTTTTTCTTTGCTTGAATTTAAAGAATTTGAAAAGACTCATCATTTTTCAATATCTTTAAAGCCAATGAAGATCTAGAATTAAAGTTAAATTCTAAATATTTCTAGGAGTTTTTTTCCGAATCTTACCTGTACAAAAGTATTGATGTTGATAATCTGTGACTATAATTTCAGCAGAAAATACTGAATACAATTTACTGGATGATTTAGAGAAAACAAAATAAACAATTCCATTATATTGTATGATAAAGTTGTCATGAAAGGGTTCTAGATAATTTAAAATTCAACCTTAAATAATGTTAAGTTAAAAGATAATTAAAAGTCAGGCTAATACCTATATCTGAGGCCCTTAAGATTTATTTCGAAAAAATCGTCGCAAAGTGTAGTTAGCCATCAGTCAACAATTATTACATCTGAAACTTTATAACCCCTGTAGTTTTGCAACCTTTTACTATAAACCTTTGATATTTTATACTTAGACTATTTGATCTTTAAGATCTATTAGATCGTAAGGATTTTTTCATTATAAACATTCATTACAACATTTGTGCACATTATCAATATATGTAATTTTTTTCAGGAAATAAAGAGAATTTTTTGTTATCGATTTTTGAGACGGGGGTTCATTCTGTTGTGTGTCTGCTGTTGCAATCGGGAAATATTGTTGGAAAATATATATCCTTCAACGACTGATTCCAGCGGGCCTTTTGTCAGTTCATCTTGAGAATCTTGTTTTCTAGCTGTCAATACACATGCATTACCCCTCAAATTGTTGCTTCCCTTTTTTCCCATCTTGGCTAGATGTCTAATTTGATCAAACAAAAGTCATATCTGGATATGTTTTCAAATATGTTTCAGCTGTGAGAAAATTTTTTCTCTCCCTACCCCCACTTACCCCTCTTATACTGTTTTGAAATATAAATTTGTAATACTGTTTGTTAAATTGAGTGTTTGTCAAATATACAAGCTGTTGACTTCAAACATAAAGTTAGGTCAAATATTAGACATAGCTTAAAGTACAGTATATTTCACATGTACAATTGTTTAGAAATTGGGGAGGAATGATATGGGGGGGGGGAATTAAAGAAGTATTAAATATCTAAAAATTATAGTAGTATTCATCAATTCATCAATTCATCAATTCATCAATTAATCAATTAATCAATTAATCAATTTATCAATTTATCAATTTATCAATTTATCAATTTATCAATTTATCAATTTATCAATTTATCAATTTATCAATTTATCAATTTATCAATTTATCAATTCATCAATTCATCAATTCATCAATTTATCAATTCTTCAATTCTTCAATTCATCAATTCATCAATTCATCAATTCTTCAATTCATCAATTTAACATTTGATCAATTTATCAATTCAAAATAGGGGAAGTATTGTAAACGAATTCATCAATTCATTAATTCATCAATTCCTTAATTCATCAATTCGTCAATTCCTTAATTCCTCAATTCATCAATTCCTTAATTCATCAGCTCATCAATTCCTTCATTCATCAATTCATCAATTTATCAATTCATCAATTCATCAATTCATCAATTCATCAATTTTTCAATTCACCCATTCATCATTTGATAAATTTATCAATTCAATATAGTTTAAATTGTACATTACTTTTCACCATACAAATTGTGGTGGAACCGTTTGATAATAATATATATATTTTTTATGCTTAGATGATTAATTGATTGATTGAAGACGACTTAATAGTAATAAGAATGCCGCTGAGCATATTTTAAACTGAAACACACATTTTTTTAAATCAAAATAAAGACATGTTTTGTTTTTCTTGTTATTTGTTATATATATTTAGTACAAAGGCGGTTTCAGGAATTCGCAATTTTTAGTTCTGGTCTAAGTTTTAATGAAAAGTTATTTAAATTCTCTAGTTCCTTTCTTCTTAGTATATTCTGAAGTATTAAATATACACTGTTCAGTCGAAACCTTAAGAACCATTGAAAAAAAAAAGTTTCTGTGATTCAATCTTTTTAAAATTTTAGATTTCGATAGAAACTATTTATTTACACATTTTTGTTTGTCTGAACTTTTCATTTTGAAAGAAAAAAAGTTTCGCGGATATTTTTTTGGGGCCATTGAAGTAACAAAAAAATTACAAATTTTTAAAAAATATTGAAAAAACACCTTACAGGAGTGTTGCACAAAAAAGGTACAATATTTCACCAGGCGCCGCAAATCACACTTTTTTTTGACTCACCCTGTATATACAAGAGAAAACGTATATAATATATCTATAGATGTTATATTTCAGTTTTTAACATCACATTTCTTATTTAAAAAGAAATATATATATACTAGCCTTAGAGGGCGCTTCGCGCCCATATCTTCTAAATTAATTGTAAACATGTTCTCTTTGTGTACATCGTAAAACAAAACAAAAATAATTCGCGGATTTTCACAAAAAATTTCGTGGATTTTCAAAATTTTCAAAAATTTAATGAAGATCGAATTTTGATGGAGACAAATATTTGAAATTTTGATCATTCAAAAACCTTCCCTGTGGTCACGTGATGTTCCACAAAAAAATAAATTTGGGCCCGATCGGTTCAGCTGTTTTGACGTTTATTGGATACAAACAGACAGACAAACAAACAAACAAACAAACAAACCCCCAGACAAGCCAAATTTATAGATAGATAGATAGATAGATAGGTAGATAGATATATTGATAGATAGATAGATACATAGATATATAAAGTCTAAAATACATGTATCTGTGTACAGAACGAACTTGCAATTACAAATTGATGATTATATTAACAGTACAAGTATAAAGCAATTAGGTGGACAATAGCTCTTGGCTGTTTTGATTTTTTTCCCACCTAATTTTAATAATAATAACAAAACTTTTTAAGTAAATAGATTTAAGGAGAGATCATGAGGCAATATATATGATAATTAATAGATGTTATATATTTATATATAAGAGACAGCGTATATAATATATCTATATATGTTATATATATCCAAGAGAAAACGTATTTAATATATATAAAGATGTTATATATATAACAGAGACAGCGTACATTATATATTTTTAGATGTTATATATATATACAAGAGACAATATATATCTATAGATGTTATATATATATATATACAAGAGACAACATATATCTATAGATGTTATATATATATATATATATATATGCACACCAGCACATCTTGCTGGATTCAAATAAATTTCTTTTCTGTTTAGTATCAAAAATTTGTGAGATAAACCTTCCGGAAGAGTAGAGTAAAATGGCAATCTATTTTCTCAATGAATATCTACTGTACTTTTGTCTTTTAATCCAGTTTCCTGAATTTGTCTCTAGGGGAAGAAGTGAAACACTGCCATCCTAGACATGTTTTATTTAATAGTAAAATATATTTAAGTTTTGAAACCTAGAGCTTGTAAAAATTCGAAATTTTCATTTAAACTTTACTTAAGTTAAATGAATTCTGAATGAATTTCACCTGTATTCCCTGCATTGTATGTTCTAGTTCTGCAGCCGAGGAGAGAAGGCCAGCTCCAAATACTTTGAAATCATTCCCTTCTCTAAAATGTGTTAAAAACAAAAACAAAATCCTTTGTCCTCAAATGCCAAAAAAAATTAGACACTTGATAAAATTGTTGTGTTTCTTATACATTTATTTAAACTAAAAAAATAGTAATATAATAAATGCATATTAAACAATAAAAAATGTTTACTTGCATATTCCAAACTCGACCGTAAAGAAGTAACATGATACGAGTTTCGAGATTTCGTTGTCAGACACTCCCAATGATGCCAAGCCTATCTCCTAAATCGCGTCAAGTTGAAATTAAGGCTGCAGATAAACCGGCCCTACTACCCCTGGGCCCTATCACATACACTTGCATGCATTTACAATTACACATTCAGATTCGTGCTGTCGAGGCGTATTACAACCTGAAACAATGTGAACAACAAATAACATGGAAAAATAGTCTTTGTTCTAATTTCTATCATATCGATTTTTTCTTCTCTTTTTCCTAAAAAAGGATTATGTGTACCTTATAAAACTGGAGCCTGAATATATTCACAGTTGATATTTATCTGGATTCAACACTTTTGTTATTTTATAAAGAGATGACTTTTACCTGGCTAAACTGTGCAAAGCTTGAATCCGCAAACATTGGCATATGTCCCAATAGTTCATGACAGCAGTCAGGCTCAGGTGTATAGAAGGGATCACTGGAATGTCTAAACAAGCATAAAATTCAAGGGCTAAAATCTTAACCTGGCTGTTTGAACCTCTATCATTGTCAAATTCAACAAATCTCGTGAAACAGCCACCAATGTAGAATCCCTATAATGCAGCCCACCAAGGGCCAGTACAAAACCCTATCATCACCTAATGTAAAGTATTAAATTTAATCAACTAGAAATATAAACAGAATGATGTGGTGGTTTTGATAGCTTACATTACACCATTTCTTATAATTTGGTGCTATTGTTTTTATAAACATTAAACTTGTACTGCAACTTATAAAACATTATATATTTCACCTGACCTTGCATTACGAGTTTCCTTCACTGTTTTTAAAGTCCCTAACAATGCTACAATTTTTATTTATTTACTGTTAACGTGTACATTTTTTTACAAGATTTAACAGTCTTGGTTGCCCTATTGGCATTTACTACATCATCATCATCTTAAAATCTTCAATTCTATGAATCCCCAGTAAGGTATTCAGGTGGTCATGTGGGGGTGACTGGTTTTTGTCACAATAATCCTCTTAAAATGCATTTGTCTTGTGTTTATATCCCAGCAAGAACGGGAAATGACCAAGGAAGTCTAAAATTGACTTAAAAGACATGGGGATATGACGTCCTCAAGACCCATATTACTCCTTAAGAGCTAGTCATATTTAGACCGAAAAGACAAGGTTCCGTACACTGTTCATGAACTGGGATATCAGGTTACTGATTGCATTTGTCTCTGCAGGGGTCCTTTGTGTGTGTAAATATTTTTGTCTGACTATCGCCACATTTGTTTCTCCAACAGCTGTTTTTAGCTGTTCTCCAACCACCCCCACCTCCCTGCCTTCGTCTTATATTTGCTTACACAAGACATCCGACGGCATCCTCAAAAAATTTTGTTGGACCCCAGACTGGTTCTTTACAGTCCCTGGCAATTCAGGGCGAACACTGGCCCCCCCCCCAGAAAAAAAAAAAAATTCTTTTCAATAGGATATCCTGAGGGCGTCCTCAAGAAGCATCTTATGGATGTCATACAAAAAAGATTTAGGGGTGTCGGTAGCATGCTAAAACCTTGATTTAGTCAGAGTATAAGCTTGTTTATAAATCCTATTTTAAGATTTTTCAGTGAAATAGCGGGGTTTGGGTTGAAATTCTTAACTAAAACATAACATTGAAACCACTGAGAGACTTCTCTGTCAAAAAAAAAAAATTTAAGTGGCCAATACCTTCTTTTGAAAAATTATTTATGTTTAGATAAATCTTGCAATGCAAAATTATTGTTTTAAAGAATTATCTAAATTTAAAAAGAAATATTATTATATGATTTTTTTAAATTTTAAGTAGTTTACCTTATATACTGTGTACAGTGAAACACTCTGAAGGCCAAGCCAGCCAAGAAATCTCTTGGAGAAAGATATCCTGCTACTGGGCGGATCTAAAGATGAAACATCAGGAAATTACAAGTTCTAAAAATGCATTTCTTTCCTCTCTAAAAAAGTTCTTTGTAAAAATCAATTTTATCTTCCTTTCAAACACTGCAAAACAACGCTATAGCATTATATAGTTACCTTGCGATCTGCACACTCTGTGCGATATAAATTTAGCTAATGTTGATATGTCGCTAAAGGAAGCAGCTATTATTCTACCACACAGAATGTGCAATTTATCTATTATCTGATTGTAATTTTCCTGTTCAATGTTATATATATATTTCTGTTGAAGCAATGGCATTTTTTTGCAGTGTATTCTCGAACTTTCTAGATACATGTTACGCACTAATGTCCTAGCACATCCATGTGTACTTGGGCGATAAACACTTTAATAGATCATTATAATAGACTAGGCAGGCCTATATTTGCCTGTTCAATGGACCTAAGTAAAGCATTTGACATGGTTTCTTGGGCTAAACTATTTCCTAATCTTTTAAAAAGAAAAATATCACCTTTGATATTAAGATGCTTAATACATATTTACTCGATATCAAATGTGTAATGTGAGATGGGGGAACATTATCTCTCAACCTTTTAATGTGAAAAATGATGTACGCCAGGGTGCAGTTTCCTCACCTTTATTGTTTTGTGTCTATATAAATGATCTGATTATTCAACTTAGAAATCTGAAAGTTGGTTGTCAACTAAATTGCGTATACCTAGGAATCTGGGTTTATGCGGATGACATTATATTATTATCTCCGAGTCGATCTGGACTACAGTTAATGACTAATGTTTGTGAAAAATTTGCTAGTCTTCATCAGTTAAAATTTAGCACAAATGTAGATGTTTCCAAATCAAAAACAAAATGTATAGTTGTAAGTAACCCTGTCATGAATACTGATAATATTTGCCTGATACTTTTAAATAATTTACCCTTACCCTTATAATGTATTTGACTTTTAGTAGATCTAAGTAAACAGGATTTAAGAACTGTTTTATGTAAAAATCTTGAATCTATTCCACAAGATTGTAATGTACAATCTAGAAATCTAAACAAATTTTGCGTGAAACAAAATATGTTATACAATCATATTCCTTTAGACCAAGAATAGAAATTACCCATTCTTCATGAATTACTTAAAATTGAAGAAGATAATTTTGTTCTAAACAACTTTGATGATAATGAGATCGCAACCATGATCAACTTTTAATGTTCCGACTAGAAGCTATATTTATATACTTTATTCTTGTTTTTGTCTTATCATATTGTACCACTTTACCTTTAATTGTGTACGAAATAAATCTATAATAAAAAATAATTATCAATCCATCATTATTGTTAAGATATTAATTAATAAGTAGACATGGTATTCTATTTATTTAAAACATCCTTTTGTCAGGATTTCATGTAAATGGATAAGATAAATCCAATACAAGGTAAAAGTTTAATGCTTAAATTTTTCTAAATATTTTTTTTCTTACCTGAAATCCTGTCTTAGACTTAAGATATCTAAATAAGAGAAATATCTTAATATGTGACCATAAATTTTATTACTTGGTCCTAAATAAAAAGGTTTGGTAGTTTAAAAATTTTAGGGGTATGTTATAAAAAATGCCTTTTTATGAAGAAATAATCTAATAAAATTATCAATCATGTATATCAACCATCTTACCAACCAGAAAATATGCTTACCAAAATCAATCCCACCAACAGTTGTTCAACCAAACAAATATAGAACAAAACTAACAATGCAACTGTTACCTGTTGATATCATCCAGCTGAGGTATATTATCCTCTCTATAAATCAATATTAATCTTTTAAAAAATATCTGTGGCAAATCATAGTTAATGAAAAAATAGTTTCCCATTAAAACAATAAGTCAAGGAAAATTTAGATTTTATTTTTAAACTTAAAATATTATATTTAATATTCTGCTTTTGAAATAAGATTAAATTTTAGAACTAATTTATCTAGCTTTTTGCTCAGTCCACAAATTGAAAATAATTGAGTATACTAGAATCAGAAAAGTGCCTACTAATATCTGTTCTGTATCCGAACAAATAATTAGAAAGAATTCATATCTAAATGTTTTTTATAGGATAGATGATAGTTACACAGAATGGTTTTCTCTTCTGTTCACACCCCTGCTCCCACTTTGATTATTTTCTTCTGACAACTACCAACATATCTTGTTTTCAGAATACTCCATTTTTGTTCTCGAAATCCTCATATTGTTTTGTTGGAAAAATGTAGAAATTTTTTTTTTGTATCCTCCATTACTGCCAAACTTTACTGGTCATGTGACCCCAAGATTCAATATTTATATTTCAGCGGCAGGGTCTTTCATAGTTTATTACTCAGCCTTTTTTTTTTACTTCTAGGTCAAATTTGTGATTAGTCAGAGGATCACATTGCATTTTCTGCTGCTTTGTCTCCACCCCATCAATTTTGACATATTTTATATTCTTTCTAGAATTATTTTCTGTCTCCTTATTAAGGACAGTATTCTGTCTAAATTAGTGTTTATGTTTTTGGGACTGTCTTCAAAATGTTGTAATGATGTCGAGGATGCCAGGATGTGTAGAAGGCTTTTGAATTCAGGAAGTAAAGGATATTGTGTTTACCCATTGAATGCACAGGTTTATACAAATGGGAAGCCTTCTATTTGGTGTAATGCACTTTCCCAAAGTCATTTTCCCAAAGGTTAGTTGTTAGGCCCTCTGAGGCACAATGGGAGCTGAGCACTGCGACTAGGACGGGCTAGGGGGCCAAGCCCAATGGTTAACACAGGCTGGGGTCCAAGAGCTGTGGCTAGGACATACTTGGGAAGTTGCCACTTGGGAAATTGCACATTTTGGAAGTTGCCACTTAGGAAAATATCCTTGGGAAGTTGCCATTTGGTAAGTTTCCATTTGGGAAAAATCCTTTGGGAAAGTACCTAACATCTTAATGTCTACTTAGACCCAAGTAAAGCTCAAGTCAAGACTAGGATTTGGGATGGCATTAGATTTAGTAAAGACCAACCAGTTTGGGGTTTTCACTTTTGAAAATATTTGTGGTGTCAAATTTGATCAAAGGTTTTATATAAACATACCAAGAAAATAATGTATCTACGTAAAAATGAAATTTTTGAAATTTACATCTCCTTGTTACAGATGATCTGTCTGCTACAGAGAAGAAGCTCTCTAGGCAGTCTCTTATTAGTGGAATCATAATCAATTTTGACTTGGGTTTACCTGCGCAAAAGTCTTTTTTTCAGGTCTGGGTTGACTCGCGTTTAAGCTTTTAAAATATCATCTCTGCCATTTAACTGCTCATTTATGTCCTTTAATTTAATACTAGGTGACCTTGAGCCTAGCGTTTTATTTTATTATGATTTATTGATTTATGATTATTAGATTACAGATTATATGTGACTAATAATTAAATGTATACATAAGTTGTGAACTAACAACTTTAATTCTTCTCTAATGTTGTCTTCTTCACAATCCCCCAGCTATAACAGGAGATGCTGCAGACATATATATATGCAGATATTGGTCCAACTTGTCAAAATTGGATTTGGATTTTAATTGATCTTCTTCTCGCATTCTTTTCAAAGTTGCAGTAGGTTTTGTAAACCATTTCAGGTAGGAGATAGAAGCAGAAAAACATCGCAGTAGGCCACAACACCAAGAAAGAGATTCACAATGTAGCACAATCTCTAAGCTTTACTAGCAACCCGTTCATGTAAATAGACAGCAAGCCAACTGAAAAATATAATTTTTAATGATTTGTTTTTGATTGATATTTGTTTAAACAAAATATTCATTTAAAAATCAAAATTTGAATATACAATAATACATTCATTGTGAATTGACAAGTAGATAATTAGTGAGCTCACAAATAAAAGTATCCTACACTGCAAAAAATCATAGTTAATTACATTCAAATCTCGAAATTCTTTCTATTGCAAAGATTTGGTGTTGTTTGGGTTTTATATTGTTCTACCAGGGGTTGTAATCTGGCAGCACATTCATCCATCACCATTCACTTGGATCAATCCACTTAGAGCTTCTTTCTTGTTGAGTAGAAAGCTTGCACCCTTTCACTGCGAGAGATGTTGACAGCCGCCCCTCTGTCTTCCTACATCTGTCAGGTGGTCATAAATGGTTAACCAAATGTCGGCTTTAAATGTCTTTGAAACCACAGATTTGTGTGGAGTACAGGAATCGAACCAGTGAACACCAGTCAGGGCACCAATCCAGTTACTGGCTGTGGACAAGTGTTCTTAACTTCAGTGATCTAACGAGAACTGGTGTCACACACTAGCCACCCTACCCCACCAGAATTCAAACTTAATTCTCTCAACCCTTCATTATGTTTAGGACCTGGATAGAGTTAGCACTCATCAGCAGGATCTCCACGCACAACATACACCAAGCTTGCCAAGACAGTCTGGCACACAGTTTTCAAAGATGATTTCTTCTCAACCTTAGCTTTGGTTTCATCCTCTCCATTAATAAATTCATCAAATCTTATGTTTTTTTTTATATCAAACTTAGATTTTTTATAAAATTGAAGATCAAAATGAAGTATGGAACATGTAAAAATGGTTGAAAAAATTAGTATGGTCTTTTTTTCTGGGCGTACCATATTTTATAAGTAGTCTTTATCATTTAGTCTATGCGCAACTTCTTTTTTTCTTTTGAGAACAACTTACTATATTTCTAATTATTTAGAAACTGTTCAATACTGATTATTATTCCTATAATGGCAAGTATCCACAAGTTCCACCCAGTTTTCAAGAAATTCCTTGCATGCATATCTGAAACCAACAAAAATTCATTCATAATTCAGGAAAAGAAAAAAACATGATGGAAATTGAGAGGTTTTCTGTCTTTAAGTCTTAGTAAGTCTTAGAATTATAAAGATGCATGAAGTTGTGATTTTTTCAATTCTTTTACGCTTTCATTTTCCTCTCACTTTATTATTTTTTGGTTTCTTATTTTAGCTCTTACCATATTCCTTTAAAGGGTGTGGAAAAAGAATTTTAAGCACACCTGAGATGAAGTTCCCTTAATTTTCGTAGTATTTGTCCCCAGGTCTCAACTTCTTCTGTCGTGTACTAAATAGTCTTAACTTAGAGACTCTTTGTCATTTTGGGAAGTATTTAGAATGAACTATAAATAGGGAAGCAAATACAAAACGTATCATCACTAAATATATCCCAAAGAAACATATCCAATTACAACATATCAAAACAGAACATATCCAACTACTAAACATATCAAAAAACAGAATTTCAAATTACAAAACATATAAATTTCTTATCAATTTTTATACAATACATATCAAATACAAAACTTAATAACTATATTTAAGTAATGGTTAAAATTCAAATCTTGAATTGTATTTAATCGCAAAAGTTGAATGAGGTAACGAAGATATAACACAATCATTAACATAGAGGTGAATTATTGTGGAATATAGCAAAAAATGAGCTTGAAAAAATACTTTTCTCCAACAATTTAAAAAATTAGTTTTTGATAAGTTTTTCTTTTACTATTTGTCTTTGATATGTTTTGGATTTGACATGTAAATAGTATTATGATATGTTTTGTATTTTGATATGTTTTGTTTTGCAATGTTTTGTATCCTGATATGTTTTTTTCTGATTGATTAATTATGTGCTGATATGTTTTGTAGAAGAAATGTTTTGATTTGATATGTTTTATATACATTGTGTTTCGTTGGGATATGTTTAGTAATGATATGTTTAGTATATGCTCCTAAATAGGCACTATGATAATATTGCTTAAAGGAAAATAACAAAAAAGTTAAAAGATTTTTTGCATTGAACGAAAAGTGTTGAATTCTTCAGATTTTTATCTTGAGGTCTTCAACCGATCTGAGTAGTGAACTAGGAAGGGTTTTATGAAACTATAAAACCTCGTCATTAGTAATCTATAGTGCATAATATGTATTGCATATACTGTATATCTTTTAATTCAACTTTAACTTTAACTTTAACTGTGAGAAATGCAAATATTTTCATAATAGGAAAACCTTTGAAGAAATAAATCTAGTGTGACACCAAATTTTGTACAGGCAGCGTTTGGTACTAATAATTGATAGAAGGCTGAGATTTTGCATGCAGCCTCTAATTTTGGTCATCTACATAGATCACGAAATTTGAGATCGGAGGTCATTGACCTTAATTTTGACCTTCATGAACTCAGAAAATACCCGAAAATACCACTTTTTTCACTGTAATTTAATTATTATTAGTTATAAGACACGTTTTCATATTTTTTGCTAACATATATGTCATACACTGATATAGACAAATATATCCGACCTCCATTTTGACATCCCTTCGATAATGACCTCCAAAAATGGTCAAAAATTAAATCAAAGAACAGTAGTCATGTGAGATATCAAATCTTAGGTTTTTTGGAGTTCAGCTTCCATTCTGATACCCCTATTTGGGCTTAGATGATTCTGGAGGTCGTGACCTCCAAAATTTGCTGACCTCTGGAGGTCAAAACATGATATCAATGAAATTAAGTCACATGAGGTATCAAATCATAGTTTTTTTTGGTGTTCTCCCGGTAAAACCCCAAGTCACCCTGTTCCGACTAAAAGTTTACTTTTATCATGCGGAATCAGTAGACTAAAAGTTAAGGGTCGGGTTTCATACCCCCCTCTGCGCATTACCCCCCGTCGTAAATCATTTTGTTGCATGTGTTTGATTTTATTAGTTACAGCTGATAGCCGACAGATTGGACAGTTTGCTAACTTATTTAGTCTCTTTTAGGTAACACACGTCAACTTGAATTATCAGAGTTTAGATGTCACTCAGATAAAAGCATGTCATTGATAAGCGCCTCCAAAGGTTGCCTTAACCAGATCTCTTCGGAAATGATTCCTTTTTTCAGTGTAAACTTCTCATCATAGACCTAGCCATAGTTTGTTATGATTTAAAAGAGTCTTAAAAGATATATAAAACATCCTGAGAGAAAATTTAGTACATTTTCTTAATGAAATTATTAAATTTTTTAATTTTACGGAAAACTTTTAGAGACACCTAGTGGTTTTAAGTCAACAGCTTGTATATTTTACAAACACACAAAATTAGACATGCACAAACATATGCATTTGTTAACAGAGTGCAGGGGTAAGGGGGGGGGGGTAGAGGAGGGGGAATCTTCTCACAGCTTAAAACATATTTGATATTTGATCCAGATGTATCATGAGGGGTGACTTTTTTCTAACTAAACTAGACATATAGCCAATAATGGGGAAAAGGTAAGCAGCATTGGAGAGGGTAACTCATGTGTTAATTATGCAGGATATATTGAGGTATAACTTTTTGGTAGGGTTGTCAGCTTAATTATACATCCAGACTAAAAATGGAAATAGGGAAGTGGGGGGGAAATATATTTACAAAACTACCGAGATTCCATACAAGTAAAAACATGTGTTATGTATTAAGGTATAACTTTTCTAGTCTGGTTTTCAACTAAATTATACATCCAGGCTAAAAATGGAAATAGGGAAGTAGGGGGGGTAGTGGGGGAAAATATATTTACAAAATTGTATCAAGTTACAGAGATTCCATGCTTCATCTTGATTTTGTCGACCAGTAAGTCAGGAAAGTCGCAGTAGTCTATGAATTAGACCTCTGGGGTTTTACAGGCCAGATTCCATTCTGATACCCCTTTTTGACCTCAGATTATCCTGTAGGGCGTGACCTCCAAGATTGTCTTATCTCTGGAGGTCAAAAAATAAAATCATTGAAAACAAGTTATGTGAGGTATCAAATCATAGGTTTTTTTGGTGCTCTGATTCCATTCTGATACCTCTTTTTGACACGTTTTTACCCCTTTTGAATCCACAAAAAAATTTATCTTCATTGATTTTATTTTCTGACCACCAGAGGTAAGCAAATTTTGGAGGTTACGACCTTCAGAATCATCTGATGTCATGACTTATGTGTTAGCAAAAAATAAGAAAACATGTCTGATTAACTTAAAATAATTGAATTAGAGTAAAAAAGTGGTACTTTCCCGTATTTTCTGAGTTCATGGAGGTCAAAACGGAGGTCAATGATCTCTGATCTCAAATTTTCATCGTGATTAATATAGATGACCACAACTAGAGGCTGCACTCAACATTTTAGCCTTCTATCTCAATCATTAGAACCAAAGGCAGCCTGTACAAAAATTGTTGTCACAAAGGGTCGAATTGCCCCCCTTTTACCTTGACTCTCGGTATGGTTTGTCCATGTCGGTAGATGAGCGCCAAATCTCCAAAAAACTTCCTTCTCTTTCTAAATTTATAGATTCAAAGTCCAAGAAATGCCTTTCACAAATTTTTAGAGGTGCCAAATATTACAAAATATAAGAAATACCATTTTCATATAAGAAGTTTTATGAAATTAAATTAGGAAAACGCCAATGTCAAATGTTAAAAAGATTTGTTTTCATATATAGGCCAACGGGTTCATCCACACTTTCGGGGCTAACCCATTGCGTCGATAGAAAAGATTGTGCCAATTTTAAATGAAGATTGAATACCCATTTGGGCATTTAAGAATATTTTTTAATTAATTGTTCACCTGTACAACGGATCCTTAAAACCAGGATGATCTGCATCTGTACATTAGATACAAAATCATACATTTTTTAATTTGAAGCCATATGATTCTTACTAATTGCATTTTTAACCATAAAATTTATGATAAGCATTTTTCTACCAAAAAAGAGACTGTAGATTTGTTCAAATATTGGGCCTAACAAAATATATTTACTTAAGAAACGTTTAATTCAATTTAATGTATGAAGTCCCTAGGTCTGTCCCATACATGAGAACCTTTTGGCAGAGATCCAAGTCGCCAATACACTTAGGAAAATGGATCATCCCAAGATCCTGTTGACATATACAATAAACTAACATTAATCATACAAAAAAAAACACAAATTGTAACTTAAACTCAACTTCCCTAATTATTTTTATCAATGTATACTTTGAAAATCCACCATTCATAAAGTAAGTAATTATTTATTCATGAAATATTACAAAAATATACAAAATTAAGTTTTCAGGAGAAAATATTTGAAAACCTCCAAAAAAATGTATTATATTTATAACATGAGAATAAGAGAGTTCATTGAGTGCATAGTGGAATTATGAAGAAAACTTTATCATATAAATGAAACCAACAATACAAACGTTAAATAAAAAATTATTTCGACGTGAAACTTTGAAACTCCTTATATTGAATAAATAAAACTCTAATAATGCTTGCCTCCGAAACTTCTTTAACAAGAGGAGCTCTGTCCACTAGACCGAGATCAATACCCTGAAAGTATGTACATTTGTAAGTATAGATAAAGTAAATATGTATTATTTTTTTTATGTTGGGACTCTCGAGATCAAGCTTTGATCTCCATCTTGTGCAGAGTCTAAAACTAAAGAATGCGCGAATTTTTTGAGGTTAAAAGTTCTGTAAAATAATGAGTAGCTACTGAAATATTAAACTTTCTCAATTTCAAATTTGAATTTCCCGGGAAAAATCTTAACCAATCAGAGAAAAATATTTACGGAGCATTATTACCAAAGTATCGGTAATCAGCTGTTTTTTAAATTTTAAATTATTTACGTGACGGAAAACAAAACATATATCCAGTTACAACCGTATTTTGGGTTTACGTGCAAACATTAATTAATCTAAAACGTGAAATTTATGAAATCAAGGTTTTTACTTTTAAATATATCGTAATTAGTTGAATGCCGCTTAGCGCTGAATGATGATAGACAAGATTTTATCCCTTGTTTAAATTTTAACTCGTCAATTTGGGGGAGTTAAATATTTAACCACAGGGTTAAATATTTAACCTCATGGTTAAAGTTCAGGTTTAAATTAAGTCAGAAGTGGCATTTAACCATGAACTTAAAATTTAAGTCAAAACTTTTCGTTCTTTAGTTTTAAATCTGGCCTATAGATTTTTATTGATTTAGATACATAAATATATTTCGACTAATGATAACAAAGAAGGAAGTGCTCCGCAATCTTCTCACAAAGAAATGAACAGATCATTAAGGAATCTCACGTTTTTTATAGCCCCTATACCTGTGCAACCTGATGGTGTAAACTCTTGATATTTCAAATTTAGATTATTTGATCTGTCAGAATTCTTAGTTTGAAATATCTAAGGTCTACGACACTGGGTTGCAAAGATATAGGAATTTAAAAATCAAAGCTGGTTGTAAAGAATCAATTCCTTTCTTAAAACTATTATAAACTCATATACCATTTATCAGGACCTATCTAGCCAATAAGGGCTGTTTGAAATGATAGGTCCTATACAAAAACAAATTTAAAAATTATAAATTTATTACAAACAAAAGCAAAGCAAAGATAGTTGGCTAGGAGTAAATAAGGATGGAGGATATGAGTGGAGGGGAAAAGGAAAAAAGTAATGACGCACTGCTGATATTCTTGGAGTTATTAGTATATATATTTGTATATTTGTATATTTGTATATCACAGAAAATTTAATCACTCTATTGAGATCAATCGTTGAAATTTGCGCCATTTCAAACAAAAGTTTTTACTTCAGTTAGTATTTTCGAAAATAATCTTTGCGTTTCAAAATATTTCAGCTTTTCAAAATATTGATGCGTCGTCATTATGATCGGTGTGAATATGAAAAACTTTGATTGTTAAAATTGTCATTGATTTCAAAGATTCCAACAATTATGCTTTTTAACAACTTTTAAATTTTATGCTTTTACTTTTAAATTCTTGAAAAACCATTCAGAAATATTTGAATATTTTACCGTAAATGTCTAAGGAAACTTAAACAAAGGAATTGAGCTTTTGCCGCAAACGCAAACTTTGTTATCTAAATATCTTTGCAACCCAACGGTCTAAACCTTTGATATTTCAAACAGATTTTATGAGGTAACACAATTCAATGTTTAAAATATCAAAGGTCTACATCATTATTCGATTGCAAAGATATAGTAATTAGAAAATAAGAGTGTGTGGCAATAAGTCAGTTCCTTATTATCTACTAGATTGAGAATTGAGATTTAAAAACACCTGTAAAATTTAGATACTCCTATGGCCGAATTTAAAGAATTTAAGCGGCGGTTTAAATTTAAGCCGCGGTTTAAAAATGGTTGGTTCCACTTAAAAATGTATCAAATATTTCAAGATTAAGGCCGGCGCTTAATTTAAACCGGGGTTTGGCGGATTTAACCCACGGCTCAAATTCTTTAAATTCCATCTTAAAGCACATAACTCTTGACTTTACTTACCTTCAATGTTTCAGTAAGATGCTGTATATCATCCCAATCTCTTAATAATCAACCCATTTGTTTTGCTTATACGCGTGTTTTACTGTGTTGGGTAATTTAATTAAATTTGAAATCATTTAAATTTAGGCAAAGAATTAATGTAAAAATGGTTTTTTTATTTCTCTAAAAGCAAAATATTCCTAGCATTTTCACTGTTGATCTCCAAATATATTTCAAAGTCCTTCTCATTCTTGAAAGATAAAAATTATCAAAAAATAGAAAAAGAAATTCGCAGATTTTTCGATTTTTTCTTGGATTTTGAGAAGTCTAAATTGTTTAAGGCAAATATTATAAATTCTGAACATAGTATCTGTGTAATGTGTATAGTAGTAACTGTTTATTCATTGTAACGACTAATAACATCATGTACCATTTGAGTTTTGAATGCTTTACCTTCAGGCTTAGCTGCTTATTATGTTTGGCATGCCAATTCTATATACCGAATAAAAATATTGAGTACCACTGACTCACTGAGACAATAAACGGTTTTGAAGTTGATTGCTTTAAACTTTAATTAAACTAAAAATTGGCGTGATAATTAAGACACTTAAAAGGGTGTTTAAAGAGAGATTTACTAGTTTTTTTTTTGTACAGACATCCGTTTAATTTGCATCGAGGTTGCTGCTGGACAATGTTTTTAGAATGGGAAATACAAGGTCGTCATGCAAAAACATGATTACACATTAGAAAAGTTTTTTTATGTTTTTCATGTAATCTATCCCTTAAACATTAACGAAATTTTTCAAAAATTGCCTGTTCTATTTTGCTATAGAAGATTCATTTCGTTCGTTGACGATTAGAAAATGTACGAGTCATTCCGTACTTTAACAGAAACAGAATTTTCCGTTAATTCTTTAAAAGTACATTACCCAGCCACACCCCATACCACATTTAATAATAATGATGGTGAATTTATTTTTTTGGTGTACAAAAATGAATTCTTTCTAAAATGGGGGCGAGCAAAAGCTATAGTGCCAAGAGCCCCATAAATGGACTTAATAAATTTAATAAACACTATATCAGGTATGTTAGCTGAAGTGGCCCTGGAGTTCCCCAAGAAATTTAGAAGCATTAAAAAACAAATCGAATTAAAAAGAAAAAAAAGAGAATTTTGAAGAAAAAAAAGTTTTTTAAAACCTATGTTACCCCCGGTGTATTCAAGGGTTCCCTAAAAGAATGTCAGCCAATTCGGTCCAGCCGTTTGGCCAGCTAGAGCTAACATATAAATATATAAATATTATACATATATGAGCGAAAAGCTTTATTATGTGAAGATGATTGATACGAGTGTTGTTTTTTATACGAGTGTTATTATTGATACAAGTGTTGGTTTTGATATGAGTGTTGGTTTTGATATGAGTGTTGTTTTGATATGAGTGCCGGTTTTGATACAAGTGTTGGTTTTGATTCGAGTGTCGGTTTTGATACGTGTGCTGGTTTTGATACGAGTGTTGGTTTTGATACAAGTGTTGTTTTTGATACAAGTTTCGGTTTTGATACGTGTGCTGGTTTTGATACGAGTGTTGGTTTTGATACGAGTGTTGGTTTTGATTCGAGTGTTGGTTTGATACAAGTGTCGTTATTGATACGTGTGTTATTTTTGATACGAGTTTTGTTATTGAAAGCAAGTGTGCGATTGTATCAAGGTGAAGAGATATGTTGAAAATTCATAATTAAGTTTAAAAAAATAAGAATCATATACAGTTGGATCCATTAAAATGTGGAATGTGAAAAGGATTTCAAAAATTCAAATGAAAATCATAGGAAGAAATTGTTCAATGTGCAATGAACATTGAACAAATAGAGACGCGTACACAGGATTTTAGTCAGGGGGGGGCAAAGTTGTCGACCCCCCCCCCGCTTTAAAAATGCTGTTATTCTATATTAAGTGTACTTCATTTACCCTATGTAGTGGCCATTTAGTCCCAATTCAAGGACTATATGTATAATGTACCCCTCTGTTTAGTTTTGTATTACCATCTGAAGTCCTGATTAGTCTCCTGAGACTACTCCCCTTTATAGTCCACTGTAGTCACGTTTCAAGGACTATAAACAGTGATAAAGAGAAAACTCCAAAATAGGAAGACGACTTCATAGCAATATGTAAGTGTATTTGATGTTGTAGAAAGCAAATAGTTTTACTGGACACTTATTAATTCCCATAAGGGTGTGCTTACACTGAACAATTTCTGTTTCCTTTGCTAATTGGACTATTTACAGTCATAATTTGAGTTTAGAAGTCGTCTTCCTATTGAATAGTTCTCTGGATATCACTGTATTATAATGTATCCCTCTTTACATATAGTTCTGTATTACCATCTGAAGTCCTAATTTGTGTCCAGTGACTATTCCCATTTCTATTCCACTATTTCTAATTCAAGGTCTTCATATTATAATGTATTCATCTGTTATAGCTCTGTATTATACCCTCTGAAGCCCTTGATAGTCTTTGAGACTACTCTCCTTTCTAGTCCACTGTAGTCATAATTCAAGGACTACATATTATAATGTATCCCTATTCCCTCTGTATAGTTCTGTATTATTCTCTCAAGTCCTGAGACCTTTGTAGTCCACGGAATATGTATTAAAATGTATTCTTCTGTATTTGCTAAAAGCTTGCATAATGCATATAGCTATAGTGGGGGCTGGGAAATTTTAGGTGAAAGGGAAATACTAATGCAATTTTATAGTGGGGGCTGGGAGATTCTAGGTGAAAGGGAAATACTAATGCAATTTTATAGTGGGGGCTGGGATATTCTAGGTGAAAGGGAAATACTAATGCAATTTTTTTTAAAGGAAAGTAGATTTCCAACTCTTCCTTTTTAAGGGGGGAAAGTATCCCTTTGATGATGAGGCCAAGCCCTTTTTTTTACCCAGAACACCTGATTTCAACCTTTGCCCAGAGGGGGGGGGGGGGGGAAAAAGGACTACTGTGCGCATAATTACAAATATGAAATTGATAACAATTTTTAACAATTGATTCATAAATTGTGACAAGTCTATTACACCAGGTTTGCCCATATAGGTTAAGATTTAAATTATAATAGCCCTCTCATGAGTGTCCACACAAACATTCAGCCCAATCGCTCCATCCTTTTTGCCGGCTATAACTCTCCTTTAACTCAAATATTCCAATTCTAATATATCTACAACCTGTTATTGTAAGCCTTATTTATATTTCAAATGTTAAATTATATTAGATTAACTTACATCTTTAAAGTTTGAATAATCGAAGGTTAACTCATTCAAGTTTCAAAGATATAGGAATATGATTAGTGGTTGAGGAACGCATACAAAAAATTGATATTGTTAGCAATATGAATGTCATTTTGGGTGCATGGAATTTTTTTTAAAATCAAAGGTCTGCGGCTTCGAGTTGCAAAGATATAGAGATTATACAAACTTCAGTTTGTAACAAGAACTCAGTTCCTTTTAATAATATACATAATTTAATTCCTGCCTGGTCAACATATTATGTAGATATAATATATATGTGTATCGTATATATTTCATATCAGGAATTAAGATGACATATGTATTTTATTTCTTAAAGCAAACAAACCTTTTAGAGTTTTATGATAGATCTATGGTATTTTAGCTTTACAATGGGAAATGAGAGCCTTAACAGATATTTAAAGATAATTGATTTAGTGGACTTTTTTATAATTTAATATAATTTAACACGATTTTAAACCACACCGACGCTGGCCGGTGCTATATGCTCTATAATGCATAGTATTGAGTAAATGATTAAAAAAGTTTAAAGTTTTAATTCTTCTTGTTTAATGTGTACTTTAAAGGAATATGCAAAACTAAAGGTTTAGACAGACCTGTAGGTAAGGGTGGGGGGTGTTAAAGCACGTAACGACAAGAAATCAAAATGTTCGACAATTGGATATGATGAATTAGAGTTTCTTATCAAATTTCAGAAATTAAGTATTTTCAAAAATTATTGTTTTGAAAACTTTTTCCTGCACTTTTACTAAACTATCAAGTTCATGCAAATATCTGTAAGTTTTACAAATTCCTTTCTTAAGTTAATAAATTTCACTCAGTTGTGAAGAATTTTCTCATTCCAGTGCAGTTAAAGTAGCTGAGCCTCAGGCACGCACTAATTTTCTAATCCCCAATTCTTGCAACCAAATGTCATAACTATTATTAAAAACAACACTCGTATCAATACCAACACTCGAATAAAAAACAACACTAGTATCAAAAACAACACTCGTATCAAAACAAACACTTTTATCAAAACAAAAACTCGTATCAAAAACCGACACTCGTATCAAAACAAACACTCGTATCAAAAACAACACTCGTTTCAATAACAACACTAGTATCAAAAACAAAACTAGTATCAAAACCAACACTAGTATCAAAAACAACGCTAGTATCAAAACCAACACTAGTATTAAAACCAACACTAGTATCAAAACCAACACTAGTATCAAAACCAACACTTGTATCAAAACCAACACTCGTATCAAAAATAACACTCATATAAAAAAACAACACTCGTATCAAAATCAACACTCGTATCAAAAACAACACTCGTATCAAAAACAACACTCGTATCAAAAACAACACTCGTATCAAAAACAACACTCGTATCAAAAACCGACACTTGTATCAAAAGTAACACTCGTATCAAAAACAACACTAGTATCAAAAACAGCACTAGTATCAAAACCAACACTAGTATCAAAAACAACACTAGTATCAAAAACAACACTAGTATCAAAACCAACACTAGTATCAAAACCAACACTCTTATCAAAAACAACACACGTATCAAAACCAACACTAGTATCAAAACCAACACTCATATCAAACCCAACACTCATATCAAACCCAACACTCATATCAAACCCAACACTCGTATCAAACCCAACACTTGTATCAAACCCAACACTCGTATAAAAAACAACACTAGTATCAAAACCAACACTTGTATCAAAAACAACACTCGTATCAAAACCAACAATCGTATCAATAACAACACTTGTATCAAAACAAACAACAATCGTATCAATAACAACACTCGTATTGAAAGGCATCCAACCAGGTCGACTGGCCTACCCAAGCTGGTTCAACACACCCACATACCTGACACAGCTTGTGACCAGACATGAAAACAAAGGGAACAAAGTCAATAATGATAAGGATTGGGAACAGAACGTTATTATCTTCAGCATTCTCTGATCAAACATGGATTGGATCGGAGACCATTGTATTTATTTGATTTGAATATTTTTATCTCTTTTAATAGTATTTTTATAGGCTGATCGCTGCTGGTTTGTATCCTTCACCTTTTATGTATTTTAATTTAAGAACACAAAAATATACATCAATCTGCATGTAAAAAAAAGCGTGAATCCAATTTTCAAAAAGTTTGTATCTGACCACTAACAATTACTGTCAGCTGTCTTAGGTATGATGTTTCAGTAGGTCCGAAGTAAAGTAGGAAGAAAATGGCGTCGTTCCTAACTTGGCGGAGGGGGGGATAGATAAAACTCCTAAGAATGCGCGATACCGGATAATATTTCTTTAATTCTCTCTCTCTATGACAGCTTGCCATGACAGCTTGTTTCTATAGATAGTACGGGTTAAGGATGGTTATTATGAATCTGATACAATAAGGTTGATTTTAATTTGATACGAATGTTAGTGATTGATATTATGACTGTGAGACTGGTTGGATTTTTGATACGAATGTTGATTTTAATTTGAT